ATTCAGGCCTTGTTTTGAACTTTTTTTTTTTGTCTTCTTTTCTCAACCTTTTTTGTGAGGTCAAGCAATTTTTATTTTTTATTTAATATAATTAGAATAATTAAAAAAAAATTGCTTAAAATTGCTTAAGAAGTACGAAAATTGCTTAATGCTTTGAAACAAGGTCTGTATATACTTTGATACTTAATAATTTGTGCATTAATTTAACACTAATTTGCCATTATATTGTTTATTATATATTATTATAGTTTGATATCGAGTTTATTGCAGTTGCACAATAATGTCTGATGTTTATTTTGATTCTACTTCGATCTATGTTTATTTATTGTTATTTTTTAAGTATTAAAAGTTAAAATTATGTTATGGTCAAGAGTGGTATGGAAGGAGTCATTAAGGGAAGAAGAAATGACCATTCCTACCACCTGGATTATAGAAAACAATGTTTGTTGGCCAATAGGCATTAATGTTGTTCGAGCTTGTTTGCAGCAATGGCCACCGAAGGACGACTGGATCAAATATCCAATTATAAAAGTTAAGATTCAATCAGGTATTTTTACTATTTTTTATTGGAATATTTTTTGGCTTTTATGTTCTTTTTATATGAAGTTATTTTACTTTCCTTTATAGATGACAAAAGTTTATGTGATGGCTTTGGGTTAGGGTTAGGGTTAAATAATTTTTTATTTAACCCTAACCCTAGCCGCATTAAATAATAAACAAAAATATTAACAATAGATTAACACGGGTGTTACTTGAAATTAATTAGAACTATTATAGAACGCGTGCCTATTTCCAGAAAACTGAACTTAACTAGAACGTCTTATTTAGATCTCTATATGACGTCTTTTGAACGTCCGAATAGGACGTCTTTTGAACGTCCGAATAGGACGTCCTTGAGCGTCTATACATTGATATGTTTTGAACGCGTCGAAGACGTTCCGTCTGAACGTTCATTGTATGTTTGTTGTACGTCCCCGTGCCGGCTGGGAAATCACTTAAAAAAAAATTTGTTCATACGGGACCAAAAAAAGACGTTCTTTTGAACGTCCTATAAAAACGTCTTTTTCAATTTTTGGATTTTGTTTATCCACCCGATTACACTAAAATAAAACTTTATAGTAAATCCTGTATAGTATTTTACTTAGTATATTCGCTGCATTTTTTTAAAATCAATATTTTCGACAATTAAAATATTATTCAATTCTATCCTATAAACTAACTGAATATGTCCGAAATTACAAGTTAACTTGTGAGAAGTTATTAATATATATATATATATATATATATATATATATATATATATATATATAATATATATATATATATATATATATATATATATATATATATATATACATATATATATATATATATATATATATATATATATATATATATATATATATATATATTTATATATTTATATATATAAAATTATGTTTCAAATGTTTCTTTTTACTGCATGTGCCACATGCAGTATGTGCCACATATATATATTAATTATATGTATGTATATGAATATATATGTATATATAAGTATATAAAAGTATATATATATATATATATATATGTATATATAAGTATATATATATATATATATATATATATATATATATATATATATATATATATATATATATATATATATATATATATATATATATATATATGTATACGAATATATGTATGATATATATATATATATATGTTTGCATTATATACATATATATATAAATATATATTTTATATATATACACACATACATGTATATATACACACATACATGTATGTGTATATATATATGTATATATATAAATGTTTTTATATGTATATAAAAACATATTTATATACGTACATATATATATGTATAAATATGTATATATATATATGTTGAATGTTTTTATATTAGTTTTAATAAATATTAATTTTTTCATATATAAAGATGATGTAAAGCAAAAGTTTTGAAATGACATTTTTCTTTTGTTCTGGTTATATTGATTTTTTTTTTCAATTCTACAGAATTTCAGTATAAAGTTCTTCACAAATTAGATGAGATTTTACAGGAAACTAAGAAACAAGGCAACCACGATAAGTAACCTAATTTACCATATTTTATATATCAAATGTCTGATTTGGAACATTTTCAGGAGTTTGATAATGGATTGAATGTAAATTGTCAATATACTAGTTTAGTAAGTTTTAGTTTAATTATATATAGGTGCAATTTCCAGATTTTGCTGTTATAGAACTTTTGTTGATTTTTGGAATCAAATAAGGAATTTTAAACACAAGTTACCCTAACAAGTTTCATATATGAAATTCAAATTCTATCATTCATCCTTATCAATGAATAATTGAATTTTTTTTTAGAGAACCCAACTTTCCAAAATAGGTGGTGTCACATGCTACGCAAATGTTAAAGCAATTCTTTTAAATGTATCTGGAAAATATTTCATTGCTTATTTGTCTAATTATATTTTTTGTCTGCAAAATTATGATCTACATTAAATATATGAAAGGAATAACACAAGTTCATAGCTGACATGATAACATTTCTTCAGCCAGCTGTACGCTATGATTATATACTTAAACTTATGCTATATATTACTTAATTATTCTATTTACTACCTAGACTAATGACAAACAAGTTAATGTCAAATTTTAATTTGGATGGTACAGGGAAGAAGATGCCATTTCGCAAGACAAATTTGATAAAGATCATTGTTGGTACATAGATATAATTTATTTTTTTAACTTAACTTGGGTTTTTAGTTTTATAATATAATTTGACTTATTAGTTTCAGTGTTGAAACTATACTGTATCATACATATATCATAAACAGGTTTTTGTTGTTAATATTTAATTAAGTGTGTGAGGGCTAACATGAACTATTGTTCTAAACTTTCTAATGTTACTTTTTTTTTTTCACAGAGGCCATGCCCAAGTATACTGGAAATGAAATCGAAAAGTGTATTGGTAATGTCCTAAAAAGAGCGCCGGACAGAAAAGGCGGTGGTGGTCGTGAAAAAGAAAGCAACGACAATGACAGTATTCAAGACATTTTTTAAAATCTGTAGACTGAAATATTTTGTAGATTGTGTATACTTTTAATTGTGTATTCAAATCGTGTATTAAGGCGAAACTGCTCCCGTTTCCATTATCTTTTCGACCTTAAAATCATGAACCTTTCAACTTTCTGTAACTGCTAAATCATGCATAATTTAGCGTATTTAAAACATTCAGAACCTAATTTGTACGTTCAAAAGATATCTATTCTAAAACAAATGCTCCAGCATTTATTTTAGAATAGATATCGAACTGATACCGCTAGAGCGATACTTGTACGCCTGTGGAACTTAATTTCCATATGCGTAAAAGTAATCCCGATATCGCTTAATTAATTTTTTTTTTTTTTTTTTTTTTTTTTTTACATTATTCACCTCCCCAAAGCCCGAGGGGGCCACTACAGTCGAGGAGGCTACTCATTTTTTTGTGTTCTTTATTTTTTTTGTTGTATTTCGTGGTACAACCCTCTCTCAACTCTTTAACTCCGAAACACGAACCTTGACAAGCAAGGCCGCTGCGCGGAGAAACTAAGTTGAGCGCGGTACTTCCAGGGACGTGGTGGGAGTCGAACTCCGAACCTCTCGCTTACAAAGCGAGCGCTCTTACCACTACACCACTGCCGCATTAAATAATAACCAAAAAAATAACAATAGATTAACACGGGTGTTACTTGAAATTAATTAGAACTATTATAGAACGCGTGCCTATTTCCAGAAAACTGAACTTAACTAGAACGTCTTATTTAGATCTCTATATGACGTCTTTTGAACGTCCGAATAGGACGTCTTTTGAACGTCCGAATAGGACGTCCTTGAGCGTCTATACATTGATATGTTTTGAACGCGTCGAAGACGTTCCGTCTGAACGTTCATTGTATGTTTGTTGTACGTCCCCGTGCCGGCTGGGAAATCACTTAAAAAAAAATTTGTTCATACGGGACCAAAAAAAGACGTTCTTTTGAACGTCCCATAAAAACGTCTTTTTCAATTTTTGGATTTTGTTTATCCACCCGATTACACTAAAATAAAACTTTATAGTAAATCCTGTATAGTATTTTACTTAGTATATTCGCTGCATTTTTTTAAAATCAATATTTTCGACAATTAAAATATTATTCAATTCTATCCTATAAACTAACTGAATATGTCCGAAATTACAAGTTAACTTGTGAGAAGTTATTAATATATATATATATATATATATATATATATATATATATATATATATATATATACATATATATATATATATATATATATATATATTTATGTATTTATATATTTATATATATAAAATTATGTTTCAAATGTTTCTTTTTACTGCATGTGCCACATGCAGTATGTGCCACATATATATATTAATTATATGTATGTATATGAATATATATGTATATATAAGTATATAAAAGTATATATATATATATATATGTATATATAAGTATATATATATATATATATATATATATATATATATATATATATATATATATATATATATATATATATATATATATATATATATATATATGTATACGAATATATGTATGATATATATATATATATATGTTTGCATTATATACATATATATATAAATATATATTTTATATATATACACACATACATGTATATATACACACATACATGTATGTGTATATATATATGTATATATATAAATGTTTTTATATGTATATAAAAACATATTTATATACGTACATATATATATGTATAAATATGTATATATATATATGTTGAATGTTTTTATATTAGTTTTAATAAATATTAATTTTTTCATATATAAAGATGATGTAAAGCAAAAGTTTTGAAATGACATTTTTCTTTTGTTCTGGTTATATTGATTTTTTTTTTCAATTCTACAGAATTTCAGTATAAAGTTCTTCACAAATTAGATGAGATTTTACAGGAAACTAAGAAACAAGGCAACCACGATAAGTAACCTGATTTACCATATTTTATATATCAAATGTCTGATTTGGAACATTTTCAGGAGTTTGATAATGGATTGAATGTAAATTGTCAATATACTAGTTTAGTAAGTTTTAGTTTAATTATATATAGGTGCAATTTCCAGATTTTGCTGTTATAGAACTTTTGTTGATTTTTGGAATCAAATAAGGAATTTTAAACACAAGTTACCCTAACAAGTTTCATATATGAAATTCAAATTCTATCATTCATCCTTATCAATGAATAATTGAATTTTTTTTTAGAGAACCCAACTTTCCAAAATAGGTGGTGTCACATGCTACGCAAATGTTAAAGCAATTCTTTTAAATGTATCTGGAAAATATTTCATTGCTTATTTGTCTAATTATATTTTTTGTCTGCAAAATTATGATCTACATTAAATATATGAAAGGAATAACACAAGTTCATAGCTGACATGATAACATTTCTTCAGCCAGCTGTACGCTATGATTATATACTTAAACTTATGCTATATATTACTTAATTATTCTATTTACTACCTAGACTAATGACAAACAAGTTAATGTCAAATTTTAATTTGGATGGTACAGGGAAGAAGATGCCATTTCGCAAGACAAATTTGATAAAGATCATTGTTGGTACATAGATATAATTTATTTTTTTAACTTAACTTGGGTTTTTAGTTTTATAATATAATTTGACTTATTAGTTTCAGTGTTGAAACTATACTGTATCATACATATATCATAAACAGGTTTTTGTTGTTAATATTTAATTAAGTGTGTGAGGGCTAACATGAACTATTGTTCTAAACTTTCTAATGTTACTTTTTTTTTTTCACAGAGGCCATGCCCAAGTATACTGGAAATGAAATCGAAAAGTGTATTGGTAATGTCCTAAAAAGAGCGCCGGACAGAAAAGGCGGTGGTGGTCGTGAAAAAGAAAGCAACGACAATGACAGTATTCAAGACATTTTTTAAAATCTGTAGACTGAAATATTTTGTAGATTGTGTATACTTTTAATTGTGTATTCAAATCGTGTATTAAGGCGAAACTGCTCCCGTTTCCATTATCTTTTCGACCTTAAAATCATGAACCTTTCAACTTTCTGTAACTGCTAAATCATGCATAATTTAGCGTATTTAAAACATTCAGAACCTAATTTGTACGTTCAAAAGATATCTATTCTAAAACAAATGCTCCAGCATTTATTTTAGAATAGATATCGAACTGATACCGCTAGAGCGATACTTGTACGCCTGTGGAACTTAATTTCCATATGCGTAAAAGTAATCCCGATATCGCTTAATTAATTTTTTTTTTTTTTTTTTTTTTTTTTTACATTATTCACCTCCCCAAAGCCCGAGGGGGCCACTACAGTCGAGGAGGCTACTCATTTTTTTGTGTTCTTTATTTTTTTTGTTGTATTTCGTGGTACAACCCTCTCTCAACTCTTTAACTCCGAAACACGAACCTTGACAAGCAAGGCCGCTGCGCGGAGAAACTAAGTTGAGCGCGGTACTTCCAGGGATGTGGTGGGAGTCGAACTCCGAACCTCTCGCTTACAAAGCGAGCGCTCTTACCACTACACCACTGCCGCATTAAATAATAAACAAAAATATTAACAATAGATTAACACGGGTGTTACTTGAAATTAATTAGAACTATTATAGAACGCGTGCCTATTTCCAGAAAACTGAACTTAACTAGAACGTCTTATTTAGATCTCTATATGACGTCTTTTGAACGTCCGAATAGGACGTCTTTTGAACGTCCGAATAGGACGTCCTTGAGCGTCTATACATTGATATGTTTTGAACGCGTCGAAGACGTTCCGTCTGAACGTTCATTGTATGTTTGTTGTACGTCCCCGTGCCGGCTGGGAAATCACTTAAAAAAAAATTTGTTCATACGGGACCAAAAAAAGACGTTCTTTTGAACGTCCCATAAAAACGTCTTTTTCAATTTTTGGATTTTGTTTATCCACCCGATTACACTAAAATAAAACTTTATAGTAAATCCTGTATAGTATTTTACTTAGTATATTCGCTGCATTTTTTTAAAATCAATATTTTCGACAATTAAAATATTATTCAATTCTATCCTATAAACTAACTGAATATGTCCGAAATTACAAGTTAACTTGTGAGAAGTTATTAATATATATATATATATATATATATATATATATATATATATATATATATTTATATATTTATATATTTATATATATAAAATTATGTTTCAAATGTTTCTTTTTACTGCATGTGCCACATGCAGTATGTGCCACATATATATATTAATTATATGTATGTATATGAATATATATGTATATATAAGTATATAAAAGTATATATATATATATGTATATATAAGTATATATATATATATATATATATATGTATACGAATATATGTATGATATATATATATATATATGTTTGCATTATATACATATATATATAAATATATATTTTATATATATACACACATACATGTATATATACACACATACATGTATGTGTATATATATATGTATATATATAAATGTTTTTATATGTATATAAAAACATATTTATATACGTACATATATATATGTATAAATATGTATATATATATATATATATATATATATATATATATATATATATATATATATATATATATATATATATATGAATTTATATATATATTATATATATACAAACATACATGTATATTTACACACATATATATATATATGTTTATATATAAATAAGTTTTTATATGTATATATATATATATCTAAATGTTTTTATATGTATATATTTGTATATGTTTATATATATCTACATATGCATGTATAGGTATACAAAAGTAAGACAAAGCAGCTGACTATTTTTCTTATGGGATTTTTTAGAATAAGAAGAGGGAAAAGGAAGAATAATGAAAATAAATTGATCCCTGCCCTAACCCTGACCCTTCAATGTGTTATCAACTCCCTTGCAAGTTCTCCCTAAGTCAGTCGATGTATGTACCAAAGCCCTTGTGTATCCCTAAATCAGTGTGATGTAGTATGTATATATATATATATATATGTATATATATATATATATATATATATATATATATATATATATATATATATATATATATATATATATATATATATATGAATAAATAATGAAAAAATTGGATAATTATTTTTACTAATTTATTGGTTTTATCAACTGTATAATTTTTCAATTTAAATTTAAAAAACTAGTTATTTAAATTTTGAGACATTAATTAAATGGTTATTGCAGTTTGTAAAATGTCGTGGTCAAGGGCAATTTGGCTGGAAAACAATGAGGAAGAAGAAGGAACTACTCCAGCCAAATGGATTAAAGGGAATACTGTTAGATGGCTATTAAAATCATTAAAATTGTTAAAGCTCTACAAAACACAACTTATTCCAAAGGATGATTGGCAATCATTTCCTCTATTAAAAATTAAAATTAAATTATTTGCACTTAAATAATTTTTTTCATAGTTTTTTTATTATAGATTTATAATAAAGTTTGTATTTCAGATGATAAATATTTTTTTATTTTTTATTGTGATGACAAAGACAATGTTGATTTGTTTAACTTTATCTCAAATGATGAGTCAGATTTTGACATAAGTGTTTCACCAAAAAAACAAAAAATATCTTGTGCTACTATATCATTAAAAGGTTATTACAAGTTGTTTATATCATAACTGACTTAGTTGTGCTAGAAAGCTAAGCACTGCCTTTTGATCATGGTCAAAAAGTGAAGCTCAAAAATTTCCAAAATCACCTTCAAATCAATTATTAACACTTTTGCTTGAAACTCTAAATCAACTTTCTTCGGTAAAATCAAAAATTTCAAATCCTGGTAAATGTTTATTTCTTTACTATTATAGAAAATTGAAAGTTTGCTCTACTATTACACGTAGTTTAACTAATTGGTTAAAAAGTATAGCCATATTAATTTAATTGGCTATACAGGCTAGTTTATATATGTTTATATATACAGGTCTCAGCGGGAATAAATTATATAGTGTTTTGTCATATCATCGATTTCACTTGGCTTCTAGTCATTTTTATGGTTTGTTTTAATCGGGTCCATGTCGCTGCTTTAATGATCATTTCCCATTATGAGGGGTCAGTGATGGGGCTCTGTTACGATAGGTCTACGTCTTGAAGATGTACTGGGGATTCTTAAGGATGTTCCACAAGTCCAATTTAATCCGATTTTTTAATCCCTTAAGACTAGAGATGTAGTCAAGACAGTAAAGTCGGAGACCAAGACGAAGACGTGCTCAACCAAAATCAAAACCGGCTCACGTAAATATGGTATGCAGTTTTCTTACCTTTTAATCACTTTTATTAGCAAGAATAAGTGTATATATATATATATATATATATATATATATATATATATATATATATATATATATATACATACATACATACATGTATGTATATATATATATATATATATATATATATATATATATATATATATATATATATATATCTATATATATGTATGTATATATATATACTAGAGAAAACTGCTCACCTTAAAACTGCTCACTTTAAATGTAAAAGAAGAGGGAAAAGAAAGAATAATAAAACAAATTGATCCCTGCTCTAAATCCTGACCTTTTCGATGTGTTATCAACTCCCTTGTGAGTTCTCCCTAAATCAGTTGATGTGTTGTACTGAAGCCCTCGCCTAAATCAGTATAGCGCCTAATTCAGTTAAACCCCTAAATCAGTATAGCGTCATAGTGCTCACCCAAGTCTGCAATATCATTTATATATATACGTGTGTATATATATATATATATATATATATATATATATATATATATATATATATATATATATATATATATATATATATATACACATTTAAATATCACATTTTGCCAGAAATGAAGCCAAAAACTTGTAGTTTATAATCTTTACAGCATATCCAACACCACCCCCAAATCAAATATATATAATCTTTTTTCTCTAGGAAAATCACAAATTCCAATTGCTGGTAAAAGTTTACTTTAATAAAGAAAAACTTAAGTTTCAAAATTAAAAATAGTTTTTGTAACAGTCAAAATAAGGAATTTTTAATTTCATATTTATTTTTCACAGAATATCTAAAACTACTATCGAATTCAGTATCACCATTATTGATGGAAAGTCCGAATCCGCTTTCTCCAGGAACATCAAAAATACCAATTGCTGGTTAATGTGTATTTTGTACAAAATAAAAAAATTACAATTTATAGAAAAATATTTTTAAATTTATTAATTTGTTTGATCTCAGTTTAATTTTTTATACAAAGTATCGTATCTCACCCTTTCATTTATTAAAGAGTAAAGGTTTTTTTATAAACAGCAACTGCTGTATATTTATTTAAAAATTAAACTTTAAATGTATAAAATGTAAAATAAGCTAAAACATGTTCACCTGTCTCCACTTAAAACTAATTTCATTAAAAATACTTATCATTAATAAATAATTTATTGATAAACTTCTTAATCTTCTATAAATTTTTGTTACATAGATGAGGGTCTTACGAAGAAAAAGGTTACGGAAATAGAAAAAACAAGAAATATAGATGATACTTTTCCTTTACCTGATTCAAGTAATTCTTTTTTATACATTGTATTTCAATTATTCAATCATAGTTTCCCTATATTTATTGGATTATCATAAATACATGTTGTCATTATTTATTAATTGCAAAATACAACAAATAATTGTATTTTATTTTGTAATTATTGTTGATATATTCAGAGTTACAATACAAAGTGTTAAACTTGCTCGTCGAAATAAAAGATTTGTTAAAAGTTAGACAAGGAGAAGCAACCGATTTAATATCAGTGTAAAAATGGACACAGTTGAAGAATTTCAATAGTTTGACCTACAAATTATTGATTTAAAATTTAAGAATTAGTTGGTAGGATGTTTTTATTTATTTATTTCATATTTCAACTAGTGTGTTATTATATTATATACAACTATGTGCTATT